GAATGCTCAGCAGACGAAACACCGCTGCCGCCACTGTCGCCTGTGGCCTGTCGGTATTCAGGAAGTCCCGGTCGGTTCATGAACGGAGACGGAGTTCCAGCTCCTGGTCCCTGGTCGTCGTCGTCGTCGACATCCCGCTGCTTCGATCCGTTAGTCCGTCACCGAACGGCTGGGCTCCGGCCGACGGCGGCTGGCGAGCGCGAGACAGCGTCCAGAATCCCCATGTGGCCACGGGATGACCTCCATGCCCGTGACCGCGACGTCGTCGTTCGTAGGATGCCGACGGTGTCTCGTAGGATTGGATTCTGGCGTCCTGCATCATCAGGTGCTGCTTTCTCTGTGCCTGATGCATGCATCATCCCCAGTCTTCAGTCTTCACGACGACACGTTTTGCTTGCTTGCTTGCTTTGGAGGTTGGATTGGATCGGAGGAGGTCTCGAGCTGTGCTTGAGAGGGAGGTTTCTGTTTCGTTCTTCTTGTTTAGTATTAAGCCGTGATCGGCTTTGGTTATTACGTAGCCGTAGGCTCAGTTGAGAGATCTAGACTTTGGACGGCCCCGGGAATCGTGGCTTAGACTTGAACATTTGTAGCACGGAGGATCTAGTGCTGGTACGTACGATGACGGTTGTTATTTAACTGCCAAATTGACAGTAGCGCTGGTGCCATGAAACCGATAGGAATGGAATCAACCATCAAAGGATATTTAGGGCCTATTCGTTTGGAATAATTCTGGAGAAATTTGGATGGTTTGGAGAAATGCTGAAGGAAGTTGTGAGAGAAAAACACAGTTTCGGATGAAAAAAAAAGCGGATCAAGCCGGATTTAAGAGCACGCGAACGAAGCCTTACAGTCGTGATCTATGAGTACCAATAGTCCAATGGTAGGATGTCTGGTGAATATCTATCTCCTACGGAGTACTACATAGTAATAACTACAATGGCTACATAGTACTCTCACCGTTCTAAACTACGGAGTATTTGCCACTATAGCTTTTTGTAAAGTGCGTCAACATTAATAACATCAAACTGGTTTCACCAAATTCTCCATTCAATATACTAATGTAGATGTTATTAATGTAAATTTTTCTAGCTAAACACATGTGTTTAGGGCATGTTTGTTTCTCTAGTCCTGAACTAGAGACTAAAATATGAACTAAATAGTAGTCTCTAATGGTGTTTGTTTGAATGGACTAGAGATAACTAAAGAGCATTAAAGCTGCTGAACAAAGACTAAAATACCCTCGATGTAGAGTTGGGGGACCGAAAGGGGTGGAGATCGGAGAGGGGCATGGGGTGTCAATTTTGGTTCCATAAGTCCCAATAAGCCACACCCCAAAGGACTTCTGCCTTTTAGTCTACTAGGTAGCATGTCCGTGCGTTGTTACGGGACAACTAAATCTTTTGTATCAAAAACACACGGATCGCACGATAAGATAATAATACTGTTAAATTAAATACCGGCGTCAAAGTGACATTTAATTTAAAAGGCAAAGTTCGTGAAATTAACACGGTCACGGAGAGCGCGACGTCGCAGCCTCAAAAACTCTACTGTATAGACTTTTTCGTGATACGGCTAAGTTAATATTTTATATCGGCAGAAAGAATTCTACAATATCTATTTCTTTCATGCGCTAATAAATCTATGAATAAGTTCAACTGCATCTCCATATAATCATGTACACACATGTTCGAGTATACATGTAAATAGGTTTGTGCCCGTACGATGCTACGGGACAGCTAAACTTTTATACTAAAAACACACGGATCACACGATAAGATAATAATACTGTAAAAGTATATAACCGACGTTAAAGTGACATTTAATCCAAAAGGCTAAGTTCGTGAAATTTACATAGTCACAGAGAGCATGGCGTCGCAGGCTCACAAACTCTACTGTGTAGATCTTTCCGTGATGCGGCTAAGATTATTTTTTATACCGGCAGGAAGAGATTTCCGATATCCATTTCTTTCGTACGTCAACAAATCCGCGAATAAGTTCCACCACATCTTCATATCATCCTGTACACGACGCTGGCAAGCGAATTAGCCACAACTTATGTAATTAGTTTTATAATTAACTCATGTTTGGTCCTCCTAATTGATATCTAAAAATTCAATGTGACAGGGACTAAAGTTTAGTCCTGAGATCCAAACACCCCATAACTCTCGACCCCTGTTGACTGCTCACTTGCACCACCATGCCTATGTGTCTGCACGTATATACTCTAATGCCAGAACATCTAAGATGGTCTTTATTGTTCATCATTTGAAAATATCATAACTTTAAGGTTGCTATTTGTGTATACTGTAGGATTGGGATGCTTTACACTAATCCATGAGGGTATCCATGAGAGTCAAAAATTTTGATGCTATTATGATGTCTAAGCTTACCAATCAGACAGAGACGAACTTGATTATTAAAATATTTTCAACACTGCTTTCATATACTCCCTCTGTCCCAAAATAGAATTCATTCTCTCTTCCCGAGAAGTCAACTTTTTTTTAACTTCGACCAATTATATATAAAAGAATATTAATATTTATAATACATAATTAGTATCATTACATAGACCATTGAATATATTTTCATAATAAACTTATTTGAAGATATAAATGTTGCACGTATTTTTTACAAACCTAGTTAAAGTTGAGAAAGTTTGACCTGCACACAGCCCATAACGACTTATATTTTAGGACAGAGGAAGTATATGCTAATAGGAGTAGTCAACTAGAAGTCGTGATGAACACAATAATACTTTCATATTATATGTTAATTGGAGCATGAAGAAATACAGGGGAATAGACCTATATATGAATGGAGGGAATATTCGTTTAGGAAATTACAGAAGGTTCACCAGTTTCACCATGTATAACCTGCACATCTTTTATTTGGCACCACTAATGTTCTCAAGGAGCAGCCTCTTTTTAATTTCAGGTCTGCATGCTAGAAACACTAAAATTAAGGGCCAACCTTATTGAGTCGTCTTGCTTGATCTTTGCCAATTATTTTCTTGCATGCATGATTATTATTTCCTTCCATGCATGTGGCCTCAGGTGATCGATTTGTTTCCTTCAAAGCAGGCGGAGATCACAGGGATGGCAATTTCTTTTTCTATCACGCAGGGTATCGTATGGCCGGAAGGGAGGAGTCTTGCTTGATCTTTGTCAATTGTTTCCTTCAATGTATGATTATTGTTTTCTTCCATGCATGTAGCCTCAGGTGATCGATTTGTTTTCTTCAAAGCAGGCGGGGATCGCAAGGATGACAGTTTCTTTTTCTATCGCGCGGGGTATCGCATGGTCGGAAGAGAGGAGTCTTGCTTCATCTTTGTCAATTGTTTCATTCCATGCATGATTATTGTTTCCTTCCATGCATGTGGCCTCAGATGATCGATTTGTTTCCTTCAAAGCAGGCGGGGATCGCAGGAATGACAGTTTCTTTTTCTATCGCGCGGGGTATCGCATAGCCGGAAGGGAGGAGCGACCCCAAAAAAAAGTCACACAAAAAAATAGTTTTACTTTTAGTCTTTTTAGTTGTAGGAGATAGTCGTTATTTTAGTCCCTCCGGTTTGGTTAAAAGGGACTAAAATAGACTAAAATTTAATCTCGAGTCCCTTTTCCCATGGAAACAAACATGGCCTTATTTAGAGAAGTTCAGCTTAGAATAAATGTAAAGCGAATCATAATTTCCAAAGTAGCCCATTCAACTAGACGACCATCCCAAAATATGACATGTTCGACCGGGGCATCTGCTCAAGCAATCCTGCATCGGATTACGGGCCTAGTAGGCGGCCAGAGCCTTGGGAAGGAGCTTGGGAGTTTTGGCATTGCTACACCTTAGGTCAGTTTCAGCGAGAGTTTCATATGAGTTTTATTTGCATTAAATATGTTGTCACATAAGCATGTTTTATGACATGGCAGTGTATTTAAGAAGAGAGAAAAGAAATGAGTTATGAAACTCTCTTGGCACGATTACCAACTCTCTATGAGTCATGAGATTAAATGCTTAAGAAACTTTAGAATGAAACTTTGCATTGAGAGAGGATGTTTCATCCAAGTTTTATTTCATTTTATATGACATGGTAATTTTAAAAACAACGTCATAAAACTATACACTGAGACTGGCTTTATCACGCCCACGCCTAGACCAGGGACATTAAATGGGATGGAATGGCTGCTATAAGCAAACACACACCAGATTTATTGGGTCAGTCTGCCACAAGAATCAGATTGAAACCACACACTGTCACGCCACAGAAGTCGCGAGCCACAAGAATATGATTGATGATTACGCAGTCGAGGCAGCCACATAATCTTGTAGTGAAAAACCTCACCATGAAGCGTGGCACTGTAAATCTATCCCACGGGTGCGGTGCACCACACCATGCCGCACTTTAGGCGTGACCAGTAGTGCCCGACATCCAAACACACCTCTAATATGCAGATTAAGCTCCGGCCAGAACATAGGGCATGCCCCGCGTGACTACTCCCTATCGAGTGAGATCTTGTTTTTGGGACCTCTTTATCGATCATAAAGCTAGCATCTATATTCACCGGCAATTACAGAAATTGAACTTTAAAATACATACATGCTTTATAGTTTGAGATGGAGGGAGCACGAGAGAATTACAATTTAAAGAACTATAGATCTTCATGATCGGGTGCCGAATATACATCCTTTTTTCGAAAAAAAAAAAGAAAACTTTGATCCAATTTCAATCAGGGCATCAGGCCCAAACTATTCTCTGTCCTATCCAGCCCGTTTAAAGCTTTACAGGCTGAATGCCATATATGGCCCATTACATTGCCCTGCAACAGGCAAGCTTCGGCCGACGAGAGGTCCAGCCCATGAGCCCAACGTGCCCACCCCAATATCGCGCCTCTCGCTTCCTTCCACTATATAATCCCCGCCGTCCGCCACTTCGCCCCTTCACGCTCCTAGGGTTTTCTCGCCGCCGCCGCTGCCGCTGCCGCTGCCGCTTCTTCGTCTCAGCCGCAACGATGGTAACCGCCTCGCCCTAGCCCTCTTTTCCCAGGGGGATGGCCTGTGCCGCTTTGACTTCGGTGTTTCTCTGACGTGGTTGCTGGTTTGCTTCTTTGTTCGCGCAGCCGTCGCACAAGACCTTCCGGATCAAGAAGAAGCTGGCGAAGAAGATGCGCCAGAACCGCCCCATCCCCTACTGGATCCGCATGCGCACCGACAACACCATCAGGTGACGCCCGTGACCCCACTAACTCCCGCTCGTCTGATCTGGATTCGGCCGTCGCTGACCCCGCCGCTGCATTCTGTGCTGTTTCAGGTACAACGCCAAGCGCAGGCACTGGCGCCGCACCAAGCTTGGCTTCTGAGCGTGGGGATTGGCCGGCTGCTGCGTCGGAAGGCTAGGGTCTAAGAGCTATCTTCCTTTTGTTTTATCATTGTCTCTGTTTCTGTAAGCTAGCAAGTGATGCCATGACGCTTTTATTAAGATTTCGGTGATGTTAAGAGAATTGGTACTACTGTGGTGTACTCAGGATTCCATGCGGCATTGCTATGCAAAGTAAAGAACCCTTGTTACCTTATTATTATATATGTAGTGTTGCATTTACTGAGGCCTAAATTTGATCATTTGGTCAGTTTCGATGCATATGGATGGAGGTTTCTTTCTTCGAGCATGTTGCTGAGTATAACTGCACAATGTTCTCATTATAATGAAAACAGGAGCCATTCATACGACTATTCATACCTTCTAAATGGGAGTAGGTGCCTTGTGTCAGTTGTGGCTTGATTTAGTTATGAAACAACCTTTTAGGAATCGACCATTGTGACTTCATTGTTGTTGGTCCATTTCTGTTTTGCATATCAGGTATGCTTTTCTCCTTTTCTTTTGTGTGGATGTGGACTGAGGACTGTTATGTTTGGAGGATATGGATTGTTAGTTTTAATTTTTTTTTTACCATGCTGTAGATGATTAAGAGCTTTGTATATATTAGTGAATGCATGTGTTTGCTAGTGAACTCTTTGCTTGGCTACTATGTCTTAATTGTACTAGATCCATGTGATTTCTTGAAGTATAAACCTAGTGGCTATGTATGGTTGTTAGTGATGGGTATTAGAAGCACATTTCCTATAGTTCAGACGCTTGAAATCGGTGTGAATTTCAGGCGATATTCAAATCGCCCAACATTTGCATCAGTGGCTGCAGTTAGGAGGATGGTTTCCGGGGACCGGGCTTCATTGCTGCCCGACTTAGAAATGGTCTGGCGTTGGTATACATGCCCATTTGTGGTGGTGTTGGGGGGCATAGAGAGCCACCCACCATTGGTGGTGGTGGATATCGGGGTGGGAAGGGTCGGGTTGTGGGTGATGGTAACCATTGTAATAGCGTGCCGGGAGACAGTGGCGAGCAGACCGAGGCTGGGTGGTAGGCGGGGAAACTAAGAGAAGACCTACAGTCTGTAGGCGGAAGAAATATTAAAGTTGCGTTTGGATGTAGACATTGAGGCTCTGGAATTGGTATTGGATAGCACCAAATGCCGCTGTTTGGATGTCTTAGGTATTGGAATTGGAAATCACCTTCAATGCCAAGAGGTATTGGCTACAACTGCACCCAGTCACCCCCAATACAAAGCTTGCACCCTCCGTATTGGGTGGAATTGGAGATGAACGCATCCGTGACCGGGGTTGAGCGAGCGGTCACGAAGGCGGGCTCCTCCATGGCCGATGGAGTCGAGCTCCCCCATGGCTGGCGGGGTCGAGCTCCCCCATGGCCGGGCCGGGGCCGAGCTCCTCCCTATCCAGCGCGAGTGGTCACGGAGGTGGGCTCCTCCATGGCCGGCGGGGTCGAGCTCCCCCATGGCCGGGCCGGGGCTGAGCTCCTCCGTGGTCGAGCTCCTCCCCAACCAGTGCGAGCGGTCATGGAGGTGGGCTCCATGGTCGGCGGGGTTGAGCTCCCCCATGGCTGGCAGGGTCGAGCTCCCCCATGGTCGGACCGGGGCCGAGCTCCTCCATGGCCGAGATCCTCCCCATCCGGCGACGCACCTCCCCTTCTTCCCCATGGCCGGCGGCGCACCTCCCCTTCTTCCCCATGGCCGGCGGCGCGAGCTCCGTTTCTGTTCCCCATGGCCGGTGGCCCCACGCCCAACGGCGCGGCACACCACCACACCCGTCGGGGCCAGGCCCAGGGCCGTGGCCACCTCCGCCTCCGCGCCCGAGCTCGTCGTAGCCGGGGCCGGGGCCGCCTTCGCCTCCCCCTGCGCGCTCGAAGCCGATGCCGGGGCCGGGGCCACCTCCGCCTCCACCTGCGCGTGCCCATGGCTGGGGCCAAGGCCGCCTCCACCTCTGCGCTCAAGGCCGTTGTGCGAGCGGTGGGGATTGGGGAAGAAGACAGTGAATTCCTGGAGGTGTACATCCAAACATGAAATGGTATTTGATGTGTCACTCGATTCCAGCTAGCAAATTTATCTACATCCAAACAACAGATTTGGTATTTAGTCTATTTTAAATACTAGCATGATTTGGTAATGGTACCGATTCAATTCCAGAGTCTTCAATATCTACATCCAAACGGACCCTAAGGGATTTTGGATCTAGATCCAACGGCTGATGTTTGTTGTGTCTAAAAAGGTTTCTGTTGTATGTAGGTATAGGTACTCCCATTTAGAGGGTACTGTGTTTTTTTGTGATTGTTTGAAAGGCCCTGTTCTATGTTCTTTAGAAAACATGGACAGTAGATCTTAGGCAATGAACTGTTATGTCTCAGCTTATATATATGCATTTTGCCCTCAGGTCACAGCAATTCAGGATGTAAGATGACTTGTGTTATTATTTCCAATCATCGAGCTATTTCTTCAGAAACTTCGTGTCGCGGTAATGAGAATCATTTCCAGTAATCTGAATGACGAGTGTATTTTGTCCTTTTTGTTGCACTCGTTTTTAATCTCAAGTGTTTTCTGCGTTCTTGTATTTTTGTTAGCTTCCTCAAGTTGATTAACTTTGTCGTTACCGTTATGTTATACTGTGTGATTATATTGTCAGGATTTGGATTCTGGTGAGCAAACGAAGTTTTTGGGAATAATTGTTGTGCGCAGTTATCGTTTTGGGGAATAATTGCTGTGTGCTGTTCTCCTGGTGTGCTTGTCGCTATTTTGTTGAAAATCCCAGAGTATCCCACGTATGGTGTGGTTGGCGCTATTTTTTTGAAAATCCCAGAGTAATCCCAGTGTATGTGCGTCAACGTTGCAAAGCTAATTTAGCTTTTTGTTGAATCTTGGTTCGAATATTTTCGGATTTGTTTACTGACGTTCCTGTAAACGATGTGGCGACTCCGATCTTGCGTGAGTACCCGTATGAATCTTTGCTCTGGCACAAGTTTTCTGCGATCTCTTAAACTGAAATGTCAAAGTATTGCGTGGAAATGCTTCGTAACGATGTTTGATAGTCCCCGTTGACAAAAGGATCACTCATGATCATCTCATGGCTACTTGGGAACTAATTAAATCAGATGGTTCTATTTCTCAACCGTTCTAACTTTCCTACGGAACCAAGGTCGAAAGGATTAAAAAAGTCAGTCATTCACAACCACAACCACCGATGAAGGATTTCTCGAAAAGTTAAGGATTAGTAGTTCTTTTTCAAAATCTGGAAACAGATAGCAACAACCATTTCATCAGACATGCGTATTTTTTATTATCCGGTGGATTTATATAGTTTCATTAATGCAAATTGTTTGATGTAGTTAGTACTCAAGTTATTCGACGCTCAAGAATTCTTATTTAGGCAGTTCATATCATCCCATACATAGTGTTTTGATCTAAGATTGTAATTCTTCAATGTTTCTGTAGTAGCATATTGTTCCATGGAGCTAGGGTCCAAAATAGAAATCAAGAAGTGTTTCCATGACTCTACCGCCCGGCCAATCATGTCCCATTGAATCCCCTCCCTTTTTCATGGCCACATATCTTTATGGCTAAGGAGTGGGAACGAAAATGTGCAAGAGCTATATTTGCCTCTGCCATTCTATGAGTCGCTTCCTTTTTGCATATGGCACCCCCACTCCCTTTGGCAGCATCTACTAATTCGGAACTTAATTTGAAAACCATATTTGAGCCGTGATTAGCTCTCGGCTGCCATTTCTTCCGGGGGTTTGTTAGCATGTGTTTGGTTTGTTTTCGGAGTTTGGTTGAGTCAGGTGGGTTGTGAGATATCCCACTAGGTAGTATTAGCGTCATATTCTTTTAAAATTGGGACAACTCCATTTCATCGAAACTGAGCGGGAAAATGGGGATAACTTTGTTCCATCAAAACGAGCGGACCCTGATGGAGAGGGATGAGTGGGCCTCGCTCGGGAATATTCGCGTGCGTGGGCAGGGCAGCGTAGTAGGAGGGCAACGGCGGCGGACGCTCGCTGGGGCGGTAGCGGTGGAGGAGTGCGCTCGTGGGCGGGCGAATGGACCCCACGTGTCAGATGGCTCCTTTCATATTAGATGTCCTCGAATGAAACACAAAATGAGACGGTTCTAACCCTTGCAATCAAACACGGGACCGTCCTGTCCCCGGAAACAGGTGGGGTCATCATAACTCTTGCAGGTTGTTTGGATGACGGTGGGATAGAGATTAGGAAAGAGATATCCCACCCTTCCGAAGGATAATATTGTATCTTAGCTATCCATTCTTTACGTCTCATTTAATCCTAGCCGTCTATCTATTTCCCTTTAAGAACAATGAGCTTGTTGATGTCCCAAAAGGTTTGGGGCGTGTTTTGTTGGCTGCTTCTGCTGGGCCTGCACGGCTGCCTATAAACTTTCCAAGCAACGTGATTGGTCGGCCAGATCCCCTGGAGTAACTTGCACGCACCAATGCAATTTCAGTTGCATGGACGGAAGCAGGACGCAATGTTGTTGTGAAACATTTCTCTCTTACGATAGATGTAGCTCTAGGAGTGATCTTGTCAATATTAAAGTAGTCACTAACAATTGTCATATGTCTCTTCTTATAGATAGTACAGCTCTAGAAGTGATCTCATCAAGATTAAAATAGACATTAACAATTGTCTAAGGCATATTACATGTTCACCAAAGGAGCATGTCCTTTGGCAGTGAGAGCGAGAATGAATCTAGGAGTGATCTCGTCAAAATTAAAACATGCATTAAGAGTTGTCTTAGATAAATAATATAATCATCAAAGGCTGTGTCTTTCGGTACAGAGAGTGAGAATGATTGTTTATGTTCTTTCGAGACAAGACACTCTCTCATAAATTCTGCTTCCTCTTATCCAGGATAGTGCGTTTAGGAGATTCTATTCGAGCGACCAAAGAGGCAAAGACATCCTTAACAACGGTCAACAACCAACCATGTCGGTGGAACACCCTCCGTCTCAAATAAAAAATATACGCGTGTTCAGTGGTATCCGCCAAAAAGCACTTGTGGCTATTAGCTCGCCCTGCTCAGGACTAGCTCTGTTTTGTTTTATTTCCTTGTTTTAACTAGCCAAATTAGCATCATTTTTACTTGTTAATATACAGCATGTTCGTTTGGTCGTGTTCGACTTATAAGTCATGGCTTATCAGCCAACGAACAGTATTTTTCTCTCACACCAAATCAGTCAACAATACTTTCAGCCGTGGCTTATAAGCCAAACAAGCCAAAACGAACATGGCGATAATGATCTAGCTAGCAAGATACAGGGCTCAAAAGCGCCAAGAACTTCTCAGTACAACAACAACTCTAAATATATTGTGGGATAATCACGCTAACACAATTGCTAGTAACAACAGAAGCGTTCAATTCCATCACAATATGAAATGAACCCAAGGTCTCAACCTATTCACAGGAGGGGAAACATATGCATGACACATATAAATGGAGGACCGAGCCAACCAAATCTTCTTCCACTATATGCCTATGAGATTACAAACAAATCATCTCTGGATAACACTAGAGACAGTTATACATCAAGATTTACATATCTTGGATAGCAACAATATGATTTGAGGCTATTATTCGGGAGTGGAAAGACCTCACCAAATGATGGTGAAACTTAGGTTAGATGTACCAAGAATGTGGATCTGAAGCTTTACAACCTTGAGAACAAATCTCCTCTACAATCTCTTTCCACTTCTCTTTCTTCTCTGGTTTTCTTCCTTGCTCTCACGTCTCACGCGCAGTGAGCAAAATGGGCTGGTCTTCACTCACACACAAGGAGTGACTATTCTCTCTCTATGTCTCTCTTCGGTCTTCAGGAAGAGACAAACTGCTCATCTCTTCTCTTGGAAGCCAAAGAAACAAATGGTAGATGCACACACAAGTTTGTCCACTTTCATGAGTTGCACCTATGACATGTGGGACAACTTTCTAGTAGCAATTACTCTCTCCATGGCCCACATTGCCACATACGAGGAGGATTTCCAACACACACATAAGATCACTTTGGGTCTGATTGGTTAGTTGCATAAGACTTGCATTGTATTAAGACTTATGCAGCATAGAACTATGCCGGCACAACTAAATGCAATTTGCTTCTGTTTGGTTGGGCTGTATTGCCCCGTTGTATTGTTTGTACCTCCGTTTGGTTGGATGTATAATGGCAAGCTGCATTTAGTAATATGTGTTTGGTTGAATTACACATCTAAAATCTCAATTGGCACTTCATCAAACACCCTCACTGCACGTGTAACCTCAAAGGCTCAAATACCGGCCGGCCGCCGGCCATCTAAACGCGTCAACAACGACGACCGGTGATGCCAATGCCAACACAGACACCACTGTGCTCCAATCACGAGCTGCATTAGCCTTTGTGCTTTCAGCAGCGGCCGAGGCTCGAAATCAACGCTTGGCGTTCAACCGATATATGATTCTTATTGTAGTTGCTTTAGTATCTTTTAACAGAGCAATAGTCGAGCCGGCTCTTGATCTGAACGAGCTGAGCTGCGTAGTTCTAGTTTGTCTTCGGCTGGTATTCAGCCCGTTCGTTTGGCTGTGGTTTATCGTAAACGATCGTAAATTTTTAGTCGGAACAGTATTTTTCTCACACAAACCAGCCAGCAGTATTTCTTCACGAACCAGCAACGATACGAACCAGCCAACTGAATAGGCTGATTAAAGCCGGCTGATAAGCCGACTGAAACTGTTTTGCTGTGAGAGAAAAATAATGTAGATTCTATCTGATAAGCCGATTGATAAGTTCATACGAACAGACAGAGCCAATCCGAGCTGAGGTTGACGATATAACGAGCCATAGTGAGCCGAGGTGGCTTGCTGCTACACCCAAGATTATGTTCCGTACAACGGAGGATGGCTGGCGGTGCACCCAACGGCTCTCCGTTGCAGCATTGCCGGACGCAACGACACCGGTTTCTAAATCATGCGGAGACGCAGGAACAACCACCTGTGGGATGGAACAGGGAGCCGGCCAGCCGTGCACTGCATGCATGGCTGCTAGGTTGACCAGCACCAACGCAACCGACCAACGCCGCGCGTGGATGGAGCTAGCGAGCGAGAGATAGGCGCCGTGGACGGATGGCGCAGCGCGAGCCGAGTGGCACGGCATGGCAGCCAGAGGGGCGGGCGGGAGGCAGCGGCCCGCCGCACGCCTCGCGGCGCGTCCCGCGCCCGTCGCGTCGCGTGGCAGCCCGCCTCCAAGAAGTATAAGACGCGCACCGGCGGGGCATGGCCATCTCGTCTTCAAGCAGCGCACGGACCGAGGCGAAGGGCAGGCCCGGCTCCGTCCCGTTCCATGAAGGCCCAACCCGCGCGGGCAGGCTTTAGTACGGCGCGAGTGAGCGCGAGCGGCCAACCGGGAGCGAAGCCAGCGCTAGCTGCCGCCTCCCTCCCTCAGGTCCGCCGCGCGCCGACCGCCACCACCACCGCACGACGCCGACACCGCTCCACCCATTAGCTAGCTAGCAGCAGCGACATCGACTAATAAACAACCATGGCGTCCATCTCCCTCGAGGACGTCCGCAACGAGACCGTCGACCTCGTACGCCCACCCGCTTCCTCCTCCACAGCACTTTGTCGCCATGGATTACCAACGAGGCAGCTCCTTTAATTTTCCCTTCCTTTGCTGTATATATGTATACATGTTTTGCTCTGACTGCTGTTGCCACCGCCGACGCCGGCACCGCCGTCACGCATGCAGGAGACCGTCCCGGTGCAGGAGGTGTTCCAGCACCTGAAATGCAGCAAGCAGGGGCTCTCCAGCGCGGAGGGCGAGAACCGGCTCAAGATCTTCGGGCCCAACAAGCTGGAGGAGAAGACGGAGAACAAGCTCCTCAAGTTCCTGGGCTTCATGTGGAACCCGCTCTCCTGGGTCATGGAGGCCGCCGCCATCATGGCCATCGTGCTCGCCAACGGCGGCGGGAAGCCGCCGGACTGGCAGGACTTCGTCGGCATCGTCGTCCTCCTCTTCATCAACTCCACCATCAGCTTCATCGAGGAGAACAACGCCGGCAACGCGGCGGCCGCGCTCATGGCGGGCCTCGCGCCCAAGACCAAGGTGCTCAGGGACGGTAAGTGGAAGGAGGAGGACGCGTCCATCCTCGTGCCCGGGGACATCATCAGCATCAAGCTCGGTGACATCATCCCCGCCGATGCCAGGCTGCTGGAGGGCGACCCGCTCAAGGTCGACCAAGCGGCGCTCACGGGCGAATCGTTGCCGGTCAACAAGCACCCGGGGCAGGGTGTCTTCTCGGGCTCCACGGTGAAGCAGGGCGAGATCGAGGCCGTCGTCATCGCCACCGGCGTGCACACCTTCTTCGGCAAGGCGGCGCACCTGGTGGACAGCACCAACAACGTGGGCCACTTCCAGCTCGTGCTCACGGCCATCGGCAACTTCTGCATCATCTCCATCGCCGTTGGGATGGTCATTGAGATCATCGTCATGTACCCGATCCAGCACCGCGCGTACCGCGACGGCATCGACAACCTCCTCGTCCTGCTCATCGGCGGCATCCCCATCGCCATGCCCACCGTGCTGTCGGTCACCATGGCCATCGGTTCCCACCGCCTGTCCCAACAGGGGGCCATCACCAAGCGCATGACCGCCATCGAGGAGATGGCTGGAATGGACGTGCTGTGCAGCGACAAGACCGGCACACTCACCCTCAACAAGCTCACCGTCGACAAGACCCTCATCGAGGTGTGCGGCAAGGGCGTCGACAAGGACATGGTGCTCCTCTACGCCGCCAGGGCCTCCCGCGTCGAGAACCAGGACGCCATCGACACCTGCATCGTCGGCATGCTTGCCGACCCCAAGGAGGCCCGCGCCGGCATCAAGGAGGTCCATTTCCTCCCCTTCAACCCCGTGGAGAAGCGCACGGCCATCACCTACGTCGACGGCAACGGCAACTGGCACAGGGTCAGCAAAGGCGCCCCCGAGCAGATCATCGAGCTGTGCCGGATGAGCAAGGACGCTGAGAAGAAGATCCACGCCCTCATCGACGGCTACGCCGACCGCGGCCTCCGCTCCCTGGGCGTGTCGTACCAGCAGGTCCCCGAGAAGAGCAAGGAGAGCGCCGGCGAGCCGTGGCAGTTCATCGGCCTCCTGCCGCTGTTCGACCCGCCGCGGCACGACAGCGCGGAGACCATCCGCCGCGCGCTCCACCTGGGCGTGAACGTGAAGATGATCACCGGCGACCAGCTGGCCATCGGCAAGGAGACGGCGCGGCGCCTTGGCATGGGCAGCAACATGTACCCGTCCACCACCCTGCTGGGCGACAACAAGACCGGCGAGATGGGCGGTCTGAACATCGACGAGCTGATCGAGAAGGCGGACGGGTTCGCGGGGGTGTTCCCCGAGCACAAGTACGAGATCGTCAAGCGGCTGCAGGACCGGAAGCACATCTGCGGCATGACCGGCGATGGCGTGAACGACGCGCCGGCGCTGAAGAAGGCGGACATCGGCATCGCGGTGGACGACGCGACGGACGCGGCCCGGAGCGCGTCGGACATCGTGCTGACGGAGCCCGGGCTGAGCGTGATCGTGAGCGCCGTGCTCACCAGCCGCGCCATCTTCCAGCGCATGAAGAACTACACCATCTACGCCGTGTCCATCACCATCCGCATCGTGCTGGGCTTCCTGCTCGTCGCGCTAGTCTGGAAGTTCGACTTCGCGCCATTCATGGTGCTCATCATCGCCATCCTCAACGACGGCACCATCATGACCATCTCCAAGGACCGCGTGAAGCCGTCGCCGACGCCCGACTCGTGGAAGCTCAAGGAGATCTTCGCCACGGGAATCGTGCTCGGCACCTACATGGCGCTCGCCACGGCGCTCTTCTTCTACCTCGCGCACGACACCGACTTCTTCACCAAGACCTTCGGCGTGCGGTCCATCAAGGAGAACGACAAGGAGGTGATGGCGGCGCTGTACCTGCAAGTGAGCATCATCAGCCAGGCGCTCATCTTCGTGACACGGTCCCGGAGCTGGTCCTTCGTGGAGCGGCCCGGCGCGCTGCTGGTGATCGCCTTCCTGGCGGCGCAGCTGGTGGCGACGTGCATCGCCGTGTACGCCAACTGGGAGTTCTGCAAGATGCAGGGCATCGGCTGGGGCTGGGGCGGCGCCATCTGGGTGTTCAGCATCGTCACCTACTTCCCGCTGGACGTGCTCAAGTTCGCCATCCGCTACGCGCTCTCCGGCAAGGCCTGGAGCAACATCAACAACAAGACGGCCTTCACCAACCGCACCGACTACGGCAGGGGAGAGCGGGAGGCGCAGTGGGCCACGGCGCAGAGGACGCTACACGGCCTCAACCAGGCCACCGCCACCTCCGACCTCTTCGGCGACAACCAGGGCTACCGCGAGCTGTCGGAGCTCGCCGAGCAGGCCGCCAAGCGCGCCGAGGTGGCCCGGCTCAGGGAGCTGCACACGCTCAAGGGGCACGTCGAGTCCGTCGTCAAGCTCAAGGGCCTCGACATTGACACTATTAATCAGAGCTACACCGTGTAAACTCAACTCAGGGTTTTTTTTGGCATAGACACATACAAACATACATACACACATATATATATTTGTAAAGATTCGTTCGTATTTTCATTTTCACCGGAAAGATTTCTAACTGTCCTCCCTCCTTGTAAGTTGCTCCTGTACACTCTTCCTGAATTCATGGCGTGTCGTCGTAGCAATCACCACTTCCTCCCTGTGAATGCCCACAGCGTGTCTTGGTGAAAGCATGTATGATTATTACTACTAAGCTCCACACATTGTCTGTCCTACTCCTGGTGATGTAGAAAACAGAAAAACGGGTGAATGGCCCCGATCGCGAAAAAAAAAAAGTGATGTAGAAAACAAATGTCGCATTTCAGAATTGATTGACGAGTTACACATCACAATGGAGGTTCAGAACCTTCGGTTACTTCGAAAACAAAGCCTACATGCTCACACACTAGATGGTTTAGGATCACAGGCAGCAACAGACTACTGTGGTACAGCTACACAGCTTCATTTCCACGAAGCAAGAAGTTGCATCCACTCGTTTGCAGGTTACAAGAGTCATGTCAGAGATCAACTAGGGCATGCCTCGTCCTCTGGACAGAGGTGCGGTTTCAGTGAAGGTATGCACACGTCTGAAGAGAGAACGCCTTCAGTGTATGTTGTATGCCGTGAATCTGACTGGACTCTCCACCTCAAGCCTTTCGGACAATCACATGGCGCTCTCTCTTGTACTCCACCTCGTCTCTTTGATGCATGATCAGAAGGGCTCTTCTGACCTGGAACAAAGTTTGAAGATATTATTAGAAAAATGAGTGGTTCTAACTTAAAAATAATTAATTATTTCAGGTTTAAGATATGACAGGTTCCTACAATGGACTCATTCATTCCCATCCTATTTAGTTCATCAATCAGCCGTCGCTCAGATATGTGGCTTCCAATGCCCATTCTTCTCTTTATTTGTGCTTCCGCTTGCTGTCAGGACAAAATGCAAGGCATTCAGATAAATGCAAGGTTCAAGAGCTGAATTTTGTACTCCAGGCTGCAAAGACTGACCTTGATTTCATTTGCAATCTCCGGTGACAGGTTCAAATGCTCGTTGATTCCAGATCTTGCAGCATCAACGGTAGAGACATTGAACAGTCTGAATGCCTCTTCAACATGCTCTGGTGTAGCCACACTTGTCCTAAGAGTCATTCAAACATCAGCCATGAATGCAATGAAACAGTGAAAGCTACAACCACATAAAACTACAGAACATGAGGCAGAATATATGCAGCATGTGACCAATGTCATTAAAACATCTAGCATGTGATCATCTAGCACTTACAGTCTCATCTTTGCAAGAGATTCACTCAAACGTATGATGGCTTCAAGCTGCCTCACAGTGATGGGTATCGCTGCTGCCCTCCCTGTCTCATGAGCTTGCTGCCTCATTTTCTGCGCAATGAATTTAAAGATAAATAAATACAAACGAATGAAGAATCCTAAACCAGCTAATTGTGTGAAAATATCCCGTGCATACCTGTCTAATCTCAATATATTTGTTCTGCAGCATCTCAGATGCTTTTTCTGAAAGCCGTGGTCTGCATGTGGCACGGCAGTACTCAATGTACCTATACATAAAAGGTTATGCATTAGAAGACAGTAAAATAAAGTCAAATTTACAACAAAGACGCAAGACGCGGGTCACACCTTTTCAGCCAATTCTCTCCATCACTTGCCTCTGTGCTTGTGGATGAAGCTGCAGCACCACTGGCATGCACCTTGATAATGTGGCTTGCTATTCGCTGTGTTGTGAAGTTGCACTTAGTCTCTCAGCTGCTAGAATAGAAAAGCTGTAGAAAGGATTTTGCTTCATACCTTATCTTGATCATACATTCTGATATCTTTGACGATAAAGATTAGATCAAATCTAGAAAGAATGGTCGTCTGCAGATCAATATTATCTTGTGCAGTCTGATGAACAGCAAAAGAAAAAATTGTCAAATTAATTGTCTTGCATGTATGGCTAGGACAGTTTATACTTAACGAGTCAATAAAAAACATGTTTACCAACCTTAAGATCATCATATCGTCCTGAAATTGGATTGGCAGCTGCAAGAACTGAAGTCCTTGAATTGAGTACTGTTGTAATGCCAGCTTTGGCAATAGATATTGTCTGCTGCTCCATGGCCTCATGAATTGCAACTCTGGAATTGCATAAGAAAAGGGAGCCTGGGTTAATGTGCTTTCGAGAGAGCAGACCAAAATAGGAGAATATGTAATATGTTTTATGAGATCTCTATGTTTATTACAGTTCCACCAAACGCATAAATTGATGCATACCTGTCTTCAGGTCTCATCTTGTCAAATTCATCGATACAAACTACTCCACCATCAGCCAATACCATGGCTCCTCCTTCCAAATAAAACTCACGCTGTAGAGAAAAAAGAAATGTTTACAGCCTATGGTAACCAAACTTTAGTAAACAACAAACAATTCAGTGAAATAAACCTACCGAGCTACCATCTCGAGTTACAGATGCTGTAAGACCAGCTGCAGATGATCCTTTGCCAGACGTATAGACTGCAATAGGTGCAGTCTTCTCTACAAATTTGAGGAACTGTTGAAAGACACATTAGTGTCACTGAACCAGAGACCTTTGGTTTTCAATAGCAAAAAAGAATTCATGTAAAATAGTGTCGAATTACTCAAACTGAATTACAGTACTTCTCACATCCAAATCACAAGTTACGACAGATGAGCCTTATTGCCACATTATTTATGCTATGACAACACCAAATAATACTTGCCTGTGACTTTGCTGTGGATGGATCACCCAGAAGCAAGACATGAATATCACCTCTCAAACGTACACCATCAGGTAGCCTCTGCAATAAGAGTAGTTTGAAGCACAGCATTGGAACACAATTAGGGCAAACGGAATTGCATTTTTTTTCTGAAAACATATCAGCTTCTTGATAAGAATGCATACCTTCTTAGATCCCCCAAATAACAAGCATGCAATAGCTTTCTTGACATCAGAATGACCATAAATTGAAGGACCAATCATTGAGCAAAGCTTGGCATATGCATCTGGCCTCTGTGCAAATTCTTTGAATTCCATTTCCTACAAGCCACCAAGAAAAAATCAGCCTTACAGATAAATGTATCTCCCTTATCAATGTAAACCTTGAAAAAGAAACGACCTCATCAAGAGTGAAGTTTGAGGGGCCATTTGAGTTATTGTCTCGAGATTGCTCCAAACCCACAACTCTAATGTAAGGCTGTTTAACACCAACAGCGCTCTTCTGGCTGCAAAATGGTCTCAATGGCATTATTAATCATGTATTGGCCAAGTACAGATTTACAAAAAAAAAGCTTTAGATTCATCATACGTTGCGGATGCTTGGTAGACGCTGTAGATGCCAACAGCAGTTAATCTAGTCCCTGGAACAATAGTCTGAACTAGGTGCCTATCTACAGAAAGCAGCATATTCCTTGGAAGCTCACCAGTTGGAACATCCTGGGCAAATGGAGATCATTGTCAGTCATATTTACAACAAGACACGAGCAAAACACTGAAATGTATGATTGCTTTGACTTGGCAACTTGCATCAAGGATAAATAGCAACTAACCTCAGGATTCTCCTGCAATTTGAGGGTCTGGAGATCCACATACTTGCTCTTATCTGGGACGGCAATCCAAGGGTCCAGGGGGCAAGGCTCTTCTCCAGGCTACGGGTAAATAATCATATAAATAACCATTTAACGATAAGGATAATACAGTCTCAAGTCTGTTCAGATGTTCTTTTCTGTAATATGTAAGATTATTTCGGAATAGACTTTGGATGTTATTTGTAGCCGTGATTTCAAACAATCTTTATCAAAGTTTTTATATTGGACCTACTAGCTTGAGTTTCAAGTCAGAGGAATAAATAAAATTGTTTCTTTTTTTGGTGGGTGGGTGGGGTGGGGGGGGTGTTCAATTATGCTGCTGACAGTTGAGTACATTGCTGAGGAATATACCTGAGGAACATGGTCACACGAACGTGGAACAATAGCCCCGCCGAGGCCTGGCCTGCAAGGTACTGTCCTCACACTGCGGCAATTCTTGCAAATAAGAGTTACATGAGTGGCCTTGGCTTTTACTCTCGATGCAGCAATTGCGATTCCCGCAATCTTAACCAGCTTCGACATGTAATCCGCCTGAAATTTCAAACAGCGATACCGAAATGAATTCTCTAAAGTACATTCAACACCGAAATCCCTTTTAGAATTGCTTCACTACTGACCCCAACAGATCTCATGGACAGGCAGTTCTCCTTGGAGGAGAGGAAGATCTGGACATCTCCCGTGACGGGCTCCTCCATCTCCCCGGTCTCGCCGGCGACTTTCGAACGGAGGCTTGCGAGAACCTCGGCCGCAGCCGTCTCAAACTACACGGACCAATGTGCCAGAGTCAAGTACAACTCCACAGCCCACACAGATAACGAAAACTCTGAGAAACCAACGCACCAGCGGAAGATAATCGGCCGGCGACTTGTGGATCTTGTCAGAGAGCTCGGCATCGAAGGCGTCGAGGTCCTCGATGGCGACGGTGACATGGTCGCGGTTGTGTACTAGGCTCTCACTGAACCAAATGAACACATGAATCAGCTCTGTTTCGCAGTGGACGCGTCAAATCTATGGGGAGGGGAGGAGTGGGAGAGTGATGGGGGGCGTACCGGTAGGGGAAGTCGCCGGTGGGGCCGGTGAAACCGCGGAGGAACTCCTTGAACTTGCGGAGGGCGGAGTGGCGGGTGAGGTCGGCGGCTGGGTCGCCGCCGGGGCCGCCGCGGGGAAACTGTGCCTGGTCGCTGTAGAACACGGCGCCCTCGTCCCAGCCCGACATCGCTGCGGCGGAGGCGAGAGAGGGATGCGGGTGCGTCGGCGTGGGCGTGGACTGGGATGACGCCGATGGGACGAGGTCGGGGTGGCGGGAAGGGGGTAATAGAGGAGGGGTTTGGCGGGAAAACGGCGGAGCTTTTGGCGG